TGTGGGGCACTCTTATAGGACACTCTTGTGGGACACTCTTAAGGGACACTCTTGTGAGACACTCTTGTGGGACACGGTTGCGGGACACTCTTGTGGAACACTCTTGTGGGACACTCTTGTGGGACACTCGTGTCGCGACACGGTCTGCCCACACACTAGAAGCAGTCACGCGAGCGTTTCGTACGAGACTTCCTCCAAAAGTCACGCTTCGAGGCTGCAAGACGAGCGTTTCGCACGAGACTTCCTCCTAAAGTCACGCGTCAAGTCTCCAAAACGGAGCGTTTCGTACGAGACCTCCTCCAAAAGTCACACGTCAAGTCTCCAAAACGAGCGTTTCGTACGAGACTTCCTCCAAAAGTCACGTGTCAACTCTCCAAAACGAGCGTTTCGTACGAGACTTCCTCAAAAACTCACGTGTCAAAGTCTCCAAAACGAGCGTTTCGTACGAGACTTCCTCCAAAAGTCAAGCGGAAACACCCATCGGAGCACACACATCACGCAGCCCTGCCAAGCAGTTTCGCGATTCCAGCCCCTCCAAACAACACCCGCTCACACGCCAATCCCAATGAGACAACGACAGTCACCTCTACCACAACTCACAACCTCACGATTCCCTGCGCCTGCCACGAATCTTTCCGCATCCACACGTCTAACGCGCACAAAGTACTGCGCCTGCCACGAAATGTCAACTCCGTCACACCTCGCAACCTCACGATTTCCTGCGCCTGCCACGAAAATCGCACTTCCACACCTCAAAATCAGCACAAAGTACTGTGCCTGCCACGAAAAGTGAGAATATCATCTCACATGAGCTTCAACAAAATTTGCACCACACCACACGTTTAGAATGATTTCGACCCGCGAAAACAGAGCTTCGATGCCACACCCTGAAATGCAAATCCCAATGGCACGGCCACACCCAACACCCCAAAAACACGACTCTCCAAACGCTAATCCCAATGGAACTGCGCAGTAAACTGCGGATCTCTCAAACCACTGCGCCTGTGCAGCGAAATGCGTCACGCTTCTTGCGCGACATGTCATTTTCATGCAAATCACAATGGAATAGCGTCGCAAACTGACACGTGACACATCCATGAAAAGTCACTTGCAAAAGCTTCCCCCAATGGCAGCGCCTTAGCGTCCTACTGCGAACGGTTGCGAACGGTTGCGGACGGTTGCGAACGGTTGCGGACGGTTGCGAACATAGAAACAACGGATCGCGAACAAGACTCTACCCCCAGACCCCCAGAGTTAAACGAGAACCCTTCGCTAGGCATTCGGGAAAAAGTCAATCCCAGAAGTCAAAGTCAACAAAAAGTCAAATCAGAAAATTTCAGAAAGTCAAAAAGTCAATTTGCCCAGATCCGACTTTTTTTGACTTATTTTTGTGTTTTTTTTGATTTTTTTTTGACTTTTTCGAGTGGTTGACCTTTTTTTGGACTTTTTCGAGTTGCTTGTTGAATTTGACTTTTATTTTTGACTTTTTTTTGTGTTTGACTTTTTCGATCTGTGGTCTATGGTTGACTTTTTTTGACCTTTCTACTTTTTTTTTTAATTTTTCGATTTGACTTTTTCCCCAAACAGTTTACTGTTAGGGGTTCTCAATGCTTTAAAGAATGGTCGCCTTGGTGCTGGATGGTCTGGTCCGGTTCCCAGCTGGCTTGTCTCCCACGTCCTTTCATTTGTCTCCCACTTCTTTTCATTTGTCTCCCAGGCTGGGTGCTTGTGGTCGGGTTCCCGGCCGGCTTGTCTCCCACTTCTTTTCATTTGTCTCCCAGTTCTTTTCATTTGTCTCCCAGGCTGGGTGCTTGTGGTCGGCTGGCTTGTCTCCCACGTCCTTTCATTTGTCTCCCACTTCTTTTCATTTGTCTCCCAAGCTGGGTGCTTGTGGTCGGGTTCCCGGCCGGCTTGTTTCCCACTTCCTTTCATTTGTTTTCCACTTCTTTTCATTTGTCTCCCAAGCTAGTTGCTTGTGGTCGGGTTCCCGGCTGGCTTGTCTCCCACTTCCTTTCATTCGTCTCCCACTTCTTTTCATTTGTCTCCCAGGCTGGGTGCTTGTAGTCTTTTCCGCTGGCCATGCAGCATTTCGATTCCTTTGTCTCCCAGGTCTGTCACTGCTGGTGTCCGCCCTTTTTCACTGGCGATGCGCCATCTATATTCATTTGTCTCCCAGGTCTGCCGCCCTTTTCCGTTGGCCATGCAACATTTCTATGCATTTGTCTCCGCGGTCTGTTGCAGCATTTCTATTCATTTGTCTCCCAGGCCTGTCACTGGTGGTGTCCACCCCTTTCTGCTGGCCATGTAGCATTTCTATTCATTTGTCTCCCAGGTCTATCGCTGGCGTTGTCCGCCCTTTTCCGCTGGCGATGCAACATTTCTATTCGTTTGTCTCCCAGGTCTGTCACTGGTGGTGTCCACCCGTTTCCGCTGCTTCTATTCATTTGTCTCCCATGTCTGTCACTGCTAGTGTCCGCCCTTTTCAGCTGTCCACGCAGCATATCTTTGCAATTGTCCCCCAGGCTTGTCACTGGTGGTGTCCGCCCTTTTCCACTGTTTCTATTCATTTGTCTCCCAGGTCTGTCACTGCTCGTTTCTGCCCTTTTCCGTTGGCCATGTCACTGCTGGTGTCCGCCCTTTTCCGCTGGCGATGCAACATTTCTATTTATTTGTCTCCCATGTTTGTCACTTGCGGTGTCCGCCCTTTTCCGCTGGCGATGCAACATTTCTATTGATTTGCTTCAGGTTTGTCACTGCCGGTGTCCGCCCTTTTCCGCCGGCAATGCAGCGTTTCTATTCATGTTCTCCCAGTTCTGTCACTGCTGGTGTCCAGCATTTCTATTCATTAGTCTCCCAGGTCTGTCACTGCTGGTGTCCGCCCTTTTCCGCTGGCCATGTAGCACTTCTATTCATTTGTTTTCCAGGTCTGTCCGCCCTTTTCCGCTGGCCATGCAGCATTTCTATTCATTTGTTTCCCGGGTCTGTCACTGGTGCTGCCGCCCTTTTCCGCTGGCCATGTAACATTTGCATTCATTTGTCTCCCATGTGATTTCTTTCTTTTTGTCTTTCAGGTTTGGTGCCTGCACTGCTGTTTTCTGTCCTGTCCGCTGGAACAGGTTCACCTGTGAAAGGTTCTTGCTCCTTTGAAAGGGGTGCGTGACTGTCTCCGAGATTGCGTTCCTGCCGCACCGTGTAACTGTCTTAGCTTTGTTTTCCTTTTCGGGCAAGCGTTGGATGAATGACCGGATTGGACTGCGGCGGCGTGGCAGCGATCTCTCTGTTCAGTTGGGACGGAGGGCATGCGTCAGGCACCAAAAATCAATTTCATGTCACATCCTTCGCTCCTCATGCTTTTATTTCTTGTCCTCACGTGGTCAGCTCATCGCTGATTGAGCAGCATGACCAGCATCATGTTCGCACTTGAAGAATAATTCCCCAAAAGGTTTACTGTTAGGGCTGCCCCATTCTTTCTTAAGATGTGTCCGCCGCTCTGTACTGCTGTGTCCGTCTCTGCCTTGCAATCCTTTACATTTGTCTCCCAGCTCTAGGCTGCTGTGGGCGCCTCTGCCTTGCAATCCTTTGTCTCCCAGCTCTGGACGTCGCAAGCTCTAGTTTCGATATTGAAAAACACAAACTGTTTGGGGTCTACGGTGGTGTAATTTTTTGACTTTGACTTTTCCAGTTGACTTTTTTTGACTTTGTTTTTTGTTTTCGACTTTATTCTGGCCTTACCATATGACAGTGTTTTTTATAACATTAGCCCTTTACTGAATACTTAGCGGTCTTTAATTACGTGCAATAGTTAGGCAGCGAAACCACTCGGGTAGAGTAGACTAGAGAAGGGGAAGGAAAGGCACCGACGCACAAGTGTGTCGAGTACCATTTCCTTCTGTTACCCTGATTAGAAGTGCAGGTACGTTTACAGCCCTCACCAGTGGCCTCTTCGGTGGCCATCCACCACTGGTGAGAGGGATGGCCCCCTGCAGATAGTGTGTAAATTAGAATTAAAGTTAAACCCCTGGATACGTAGCGCGACACACGCAAGGTGCCGCAGTGCGGCGCTCGCTCCAAAATAGTCACCTAACAAGCCTTAGAAAGAAAGAAAGGGAAAAGAAAAAGAGCAAGCCAAAGAGGGCAAGAGAGAACGATAGGTGTAGAGGCGTGCATGTCTGCCGCGCGAGCGGCAAATTCCGGGCGCAAATCCTGAATAGCCACCTAACAAGCCTTAGAAAAAAGAGAAAGAAAGACAAAAAGAGCAAGCCGAGAGGGCAAGAGATAAACATAGGGGTAGTGTCGTGCATGGCTGCCTATGGCAAGTTACGGAGCCAAAGCCTGAGTACCACCTGACAAGCCTTAGAAAGGAAAGAAAATCAGAATATATAAGCAAGCCGAAAAGGGCAAAAGAAAAGATCGGTGTAGCAAAAAAGTGCTAGACCGAGGGGCAGGGAAACGAGCCTCAAGAACAACCTAACAAGCCTGAAGAAACACCTAACAAACGGAAAAGCCGCAAGAAAGAAAGAGGGGGGAGGGAAGGGGGTGGGGGTTCATTCTCCGTATGCCCGGCGGCGTGGAAACCGTAGCTCGGCGGCATTGGGGTCGGTTGATTCATGGGTGAGACAAAACAATCCAAAACACAATCCACAGTTGCAGAACGAAAGAGTCAAAGTGGGATTCGCGATGGCTTCGGCGCCCCTGTGACGGGGATCACACTACGCACCCAAGTGGGAAAGTGTAGCGAAACACACTTAGATAAAGGTTCATTCGACATCGTAATCCACAAGGAAATGAATGAGGGAACAACAAGGCGAGGTGGTCAGCGCATTTGAACTGTTAAACACTGTGTTGCATTAGGCCTTTACTGAATACTTAGCGGTCTTTATTTAAGTGCAATAGTTAGGGAGCGAAGCCGCTCGGGTAGAGTAGACTAGAGAAGGGACAACAGAAGGAAAGGCACCGACACACAAGTGTGTCAAGTACCATTTCCTTCTGTTACCCTGATTAGAAGTGCAGGTACGTTTACAGCCTTCACCAGTGGCCTCTTCGGTGGCCATCCACCACTGGTGAGAGGTGATAAACTCGTTGTTCCTTTCCTCTTCCTTACCCAGCGGATTTGGCAACGTTCATACTTGTGTAAACAGTCTTGATCTCTAGCAGGCAGAAGTCGCTATAGATGTAACTGTGAGCAATTGAGATTTGTGCAAATGTTCATCCGCATCTTGCGCCAGGAGCCCCATATCTTTGATGCCGAAGAAGATGATTTCAGCGCGCTGGCCACACTCCATGTCCTAGCGGCGGCTGAAGAAGGCTTTGAACTACGGACCTCTGGAGAGGATTCACTGGATGAGGAGGTTTGGTCCTCAGCGAGAGGCGGCGGCAAAGATGAGGTAGATGGGGCCAGAAACAAAAGTTCTCCCCTAGAAAATGGGACACTTGAGTTATAGAAGAGGGAGAATGCAGAATTGTAAAATAAACAATCTCAGAGTCTTTCGGATCTGTTAGGTCAGTTTCTTGTTTTCGAACCCAAGAGCGCCATCCATGTTGGACATCAGTGTATTGGTGCGGCCTTTTGCTGAGGCCTTTCGCTGGCTAGCGGGCGTTCCTGGGTGTTCCAAGGCGAAACGTTACGGTTCAAAGAGTTCCCACGGTCGGCGATCGGACGCTACGAACGGGGCTCCTGGCATCGCTACGAACGGAGCAAGGACGCTTCTAGAACCTCCTGGCCTTACTACTAGGAGCAAGACGCTACTAGGAGCAAAGGGCATCGCTACATATGGGTGTGTATTTCAATAGGGGGACCTCCCAACCAATGGCTTTTGGATGCTTTTGGTCTATTTTCCTTCTTCCAGGGTGTCTTTGGGAAGCCTTCCTATTTTTATACACACACCCATTTGTTTCTTGCAGCAATCGTTCACTCCTCCCAAGTGGAGATCTTTTTGTCATCCTTTGACATTCGATAGTGCTCTCTTTGATCCCGCGCTGGGGAATGGCTCAGGACAAAGTTGCACATGCGTGGGATGCTCATAGCGGCTGGCATCAGGGACATAAGGTAAGACAGTAAGTAAGATGTGTCGGTAACTTAACGAGATCTGTTGCAAATTCAGGATTTTGTTGCAGGTGTACACCATCAGAGTGACAGAAAAACTGAACCCTAAGCTCAGTGGTCTAGAGGAGAAAACATGTTGATTCATTTTGGAGGGTAATGGCATAGTTTGCTCGAAGGAGTCTCTCGCGGGTGGGCTTGGGGAAAGGAGTTCTGAAGCTGTACTGAGGCTTGCTGCCGCACAAAACAATGGCTTTGAAACATCTATCCCTGATGGGTTTGTCACCTAGCTGATTCTTTCAAAAAGGCCTCTTGGACATGGGAGAAAGCTCTGTTGCCGAGGGTAGAGGTGGAGGCCACACTTCTTTTCAAAAGGCAGGCAGAAGAAGGAACACAGTGCTTCTTTCAATCGTCCTGGTAGTTTGGGTCTCCCGAGAAAATCGGGCCGCAGGCTCTCCATCTTCAATCATTCGTGCTGGCCGGTGGCCCCATTTGCTTCAAGAAACGGCGGCCCTTCACTCACAGTGCTGTGAGGCCAAACTGCGCAGTCTACCGTCAGAGGTGGCCGACTGAGAAAACTCTTCCCTAGGCTTTGACAAAGAACTAGGCTTTGACAAAGAGCACTATTCCGAGAATACCTACAGTGCATAATGGATACCTAGACACCATATTTTTTCTTAGGAGGTTGTTGCAATGGCTTTCTCCCACCGGTTTGTTGATCGAAATCGAGCTGCTTCTGTATCCTCTCAGGTCCAGTGGCTTGTCGCACGTCTTGGCCACTGGTTCCATTGAGAAGGGTGCCGAGCTCACGTGACCCGGGCTTTCTTTCGCTTTCATTTTTCGCTTTCGCACGCTTTCCATTGGCTTTCTCAGTCTTGGTCTCCGGACCAGATGGCAGGGTTCTTCAGCTCCAATCGACATAGACGGCAGAGACGACATAGTCATTTTCCCTTTAACCGGTTCCAACCTCCAGTGTCACGCTGGCAGATGTTTCCTCGCCAGGATCCACTACTCGGACGAGTTGATCTTGCTTCCCAAGGAATTGCCGGGGTCCTTACAGGAACACATAGCAGCACATAGTAGCGCATGGCAACGCGTGGCGACACTGATGTTCGGTTGAACTTTGGAAGGCTTTCGAAGTTCACACGGATGTTATACAAGCCTTGAACGGATATATTGACCTCAAGTAGCGACAAGGCTGACAAGGCTCCTCATTAATGGGGGCAGACAATCAGCATCGACTTGGTAGAGAATTGAGCTGCAGTATCAGCTCTTCATTGGCAGAGCTAGCAAATCAAATCCAATAATGATTTCCTGAGGCGGAGAACTTTCCTGACCGGGAGATTTGGCTTCTTTTGCGAGTGCGATCGGTGCCAAGAGCCTTTTCAGGTGCACACGAAGACCACCTGTTCGGGCGATCCGCGATATCGGGGATATCACATGAATGTGCGCCCGTCCGCCCTTTCCCCTTCCTTCTTGCAGAGTGGAGACCCACCGAGACGTGAAGCCCCGCCCGGTGGACTCGCACGCTGCCGGCAGATGCACGGTGCTGGAGAAGCGCTGGAGGCCGCCTTCGCACACCTTGCAGAGGAGCCACCTGTCGTCTTCGTCCGGTGGCGGAGCGACGCGTCGGCCGCCTGAAGGCGTCGTGTGGCGCCAGGACCAGAACTTCAAAGTCCAGGCTGAGGTTGGACAGAACTCTTGCTGAATTAGGGGCTGAAACATTGACTTGAAGTGGCGCAGGCAGCCAAAGTAGAGGCTCTTCTGCAAGAACGTGTCGAGGGCCCTCAGGAGACAGGGTGAAGTCAAAGTGTTCCCTGAGACCAGGTTGTGAATGCTTTCTGTTGTTGTAAGTTGTATCCGCAGTTTTCAGACGTTCTTCTGAACATTTCTATTCGTTTTTGGCTATTGCCACAGCCATGTGCTATCTCAGGAGGACGTTCGCGCTGATAACATGAAAAGAGCTCATGCTGGCGTGGCACTTGGAAAAACTTGGCCCCTTTGACTAGCTATGAAAGAATGACAAACGACAAGAAAGTGCCAACACCCGGCTGTGCTGTCCAAACTTGTGTGGAATCAGCTCTACATCTAGCTAGCTGGGAAAACAATGTGCCCCGCACGATGATTAGACGATGCTTTGACCGTGACCCACGATGCCTTCCTTTGCAGGAATCTTTCTGCGCTGCTGGAGAGCTAGAGCATCTATTTCTCTCCTCTCTTGTTTTCTACTTTACTGCTCTTCCTTTCTTTTGTACTCTCCTTCGTGCTATATAGAGTAGGGCAAGCTAGAATGCAGTAGAATGTTGTGTACACTAGAGTCACGAAGGTAGACGATGTAAGAATGTACTTATTCCTGTACTCCTGGCAAGAATAATATTAAAAACTGTATGGATCATATTCTTTTGCCCAAGAACACTGAGTCACTGAGTGTACTGTGTGCTCCACATTGGGAGTGCTATCGAGACGTGCGAAGTTTTGCTACCGAGACGGGCAGGTCTCTGCAAAATGCGCCGGGACAATGGGCAACCTTCAGGCTATGGCGATGGTTTATGGTGGCCCTTTTAGAGGTGACCAGTCTAGCAGTGTTTGCAATCGAGGTGTCTAGCAGTTGTGGAGCTGCTGTGTCGACCTGCAGATGCGTTTATTGAACATCTTGGCTCGATCTCTAGCTCCAGTTGGGCGGCGCAGCTTTGCCTGTCTCCGAGACTCACCTCAAAGAGTGCCGGTATCGAAGACACGAGTATGCGACCTCAAGTATGTAGGTGTGCAGTGTATCATCATGTTCCGACTATATTGTACAGGATGTAGAAAAACATGCCAGATCATTTCGCTCTGGGCTTCTGGCATTCCTTGTATTCCTTGCAGCTGCATTTCAGGATTCTGAGCTTGATACACAAGCCGATTGCCTGTGACCTAGAGTTGAGAAGATACTGACATTTTCTTGTTCCACCCCGAGAAGCTGCAGTGATCCAATACCTTTGAATTGGGCTGGTCGAGTGCCCAGGCGGCTCAGTGCCAAATGCCGATGTTGTCGCGCTCGAAACTGCTGCGATCGGCGCTCTTGCGCAGCAAAACAAGGTCTGGGTTTCAGCTGGCAATGTGCTTCGTGAAAGGGCCGGATGTAGAGGTTTCAATAGCAGGTATCCCCGGGGATCTTGAGATTTGTTTTGCGAGGAATAGCCTGTTCGGGTGAGCAGTGTATTGAAGCTGTGCTTGGACAGGTTTGGTGGCTTTGGCTCTCCGAAGGACCACGCACAGTTCTGGAGGAAATTGTCCACAAGTTAGTCTTACCAGCGTCTGCAGTCTTTGTCATCCTTGTGTCAGGATCATGAGCCGGCATGGATTGAGCGATGGTCTGCAAATCGCCGTGAGGGCCAGGACAGACCTCGACAGCGAGAGGGACACGGAGGGAGAGAGAGAGAGAGAG